GTATTGTATTATTATCATATATGGGTCCAGACTGTGGGCCGAACAAATCACGATACAATCCTTACAACAAAGATAACCGTCCACGATTTGCTAGCGGGCGGAATATAACCCGGATGTCCTACCCGAGAAGGTGAATGTTCTTGGGAAGTTGACAACCGTAGCCTTTGATTAATCAGAAACACCCCCAAGGTAGGTGATTTTCATTTGAAGATGTCGGTGAACAGATAACCGTGATCGACCCCGGTTACACGTAGACCACCGTCTTTTTCTATCGCACAGCTTTCAACGAACGGCAACTTAACGCTCCAATTCAACGGGTAAGACGGATCAAGTCGACGACATGGTAGTAGACTCCCGTTACCGTTGCTCAGTACAGACTTGCATGTCCTATTGGACCACTTGCGTTGAATCTTATCACTAAACGTTCCGTCTCAATGGTCCCCCGCAAGTCCAAAAAACTGGGTTAATACATCATTTGTCTGACCCAAACGTTCGTGCACACTATAAGGTCAGAGCTAGGGCATGAGGTAAGAGCACAGCAAACTCTAATACATGCACAAACTATAAATAACTCCATACTGCGTCGGTCGTCACGAAGGATATTCAGGACCCCTGCCAACTGCATCGAGCGGGGTCGGTTACTGCTGGGACACCCCTTGATGAGCCTATAGAGTCTGTGAAGCTAGGGGCACAGTCCAGTTGCTCCTCAGTCGCTTCTGAAGGGATTTTCAACGCAAGTTGAAGAATACGGTATGCTGCTTAAACGTAATCATCCTGTGTTGCCAGGTCGATTTCAAGCTTTGCGCATACGAGTGTGTAATCTGATTCATTTTTGTTTCCAGTTTCAGCTCACAATACAAACGAAAGTTTCCAACTGGAGTAATTTATTGCGAACAGACGGGGAGATAAATCTAATTAATATGCTGCACCATCATCATAGGAATTCTACGTTGGAAGACGCTTGTTGAGATGTTGGGACCGCGCTTTTGTGATTACTCGCCGATCATATTCGACAAAACTAAGCAGTCGGTCACCATTTTCGTAGCGTTTGCCCAGACATAAACGTTGTTTGTCGAGTCTCCTTGTGATTCAGTGGCGAGTTCACTGACGAGCACAGCGGGTCGTCGTACAGCGTAATACACTGAAGCGAAATTCACTGATCGTTCCCAAACTCATAATGCACGCAGTATAAGTTAATGTGTAAGATGAATGAGGATTGGGCCTATTTAGGGGACGGGAAAAGAAAGAGAATGCCTATAGTCAACGCAAAGTATGCAGTTCAACTAATCATATGCCCTATTTCAAGCATTCTGGTCTGCTGAGACCTGACAATAAGAGCGCCACTGCTATCGGTTTGCTGCCATGACCTTCATTATCTATCACTAGCCAGTTACGGAGTCTTGGATTTCAATCCGGAAGACGAGAGACACACTACCTAACCGCTCTGTGCATTTCTTCATGCCTCGTTTCCACGTCATAAGTTGATCACGTGATTTCCTTCTGCAGCGTCTACTGAAAATGTTGCTGCGTATCGGAGAGTCAGCTCTGGAATTATAGTACTATAAGCCGTCTAAGTGTACCGGATTTGTCTTCGAAGTCATTCCTTCGCACAACAGGTGACGATGAAGCCCGTTCAGCAGGTCAGCAGGGCGTAGGTATTGTACTCAGTAATATGGCCGAAGCCTGGTTTCCCGTAAACAATCGTGCCACTCCAGGGGCCAATCAGCGTCCGGAAGGGAAGCAACTCCTAAATGTGCTTGTTTATCATCTCAGCGTATGCCCCGAACAATCGCAGTTTTGATACACAAAAACAAGAGTTCAACAAACTCGCAGAACTGAAATGCTTGAGCCGAAGCTCCGATAGGGTTATGCTTGTAGGTGATTTTAATGCGCAAGTTAGAAAACGGAGCGCATCGGAAGCTTGTCTAGGTGGTAGTTGTGCTCTGCTATGCCAGAAAACAGATAATGGTGATCGACTGCTTCAGCTCTGCGCAAACTACTCTGTTCCTGTTCAGTACCACCTTCAGACAGCTCACAACGGACGGCAACGTGGCGCCTCAATTCAAATGCTACGCTAACTCAAATCGACCACACAACAGTAAGCTACCATTGGGGTGTCTCAGTGCAAAATTGAAGGTCATACTGGACCACCTGCGTGGAATCTGATCTCGGGTTAGTTTCGATAAGGTTCACTCTCCGACCCACTAGTCACCGAAAAAAAACAGCTAACTCGGTTAGCTCATCATCGCCTGGCTGTCCCAGCAGCTCATGCTCGCTGATTCAGAGCTAAGCGCCGCAGCGTAGCATTGTAGATGAACAATCGGATCAGATTAGACAAACAGTGCACTCCGCACCGAAGATTGCTTGCGGATCTGAGATTCAAGCCCGTCCGAGACATTGCATATCTGATTTGATGAGTTAATAGCCCTGATGGAAAAAGCGGCTAATATCGACCGATCAGGATAAACACAGTGGCAGTTGGCTTCCATTTTGACTGTTCACCGAGCTTGGTAATTGGTTTTCAAACGCTTCGTCACCAGTCGAGGTGATATCTTCAGTAATTGTGAAGTGACACCGAGAACGGATTTTCAATACTTTGTCACAAGGAGTAAGTGTATGTAACGACAGATCA